ATTGCTACAACAAACCCGCTTACCACCGGCACTAAGATGATATGTCTAGGACACATCGGTTAGTGAGTCCAAGTTTACCTCGGTCTCAGAGGCTGCGAAGCAACCTACACGCCACTATAATAATCCTTTTCAAGTCCCATTTCTTTCAATATAATGCTTTTACATATTTGAGACCTTCCACATATTTGCTTTATTTCATAGACCATACTACTGTATGTCTTATTCATATGGGACTTCAAGTCATAACTCTGCTATCATAATGCTTATGCATCATAGAGACCTTCTATATTAATGCTTTGGTTCGTCAGACCTTACTATGTTAAGTCCCTAATATAGGACTAGTCATTGTGCAACCTTAGTACTAGCAGTCGGTCAGCCGACCACCCCATATATATGTACAACCTTGGGTATGTGTCTCCGACAACGCCCCAATATAAGGGAACATTACAAGAACACGTTCATTAACTTAGAAATTTTCCAATTATTACACGAACACCTTCATCAACTTAGAAAATTTTAATCAATTTTTTTCTATTATATTACAAATGTTATTTATCTTTGTTATTGCAATATAATCGCCTTGTATTTATATGATTTGATATATTTTAAACATTTTAAGCAGGTTTTTAATAAATTTAGAGATTTTTTGAGACATTTTATGCGTTTACTAATATATATAATATTCAATATTCCAAATGGATATTTTTGAACTCTATGCTTATTATTTGCATTTTATTGTTTAAATTTTAATTTCTATGACATTTTTAAATGTCTGTATAATGAATTTAATTATTATTTATTAATAATAATTATGAGGCGTCACAACATCATCATCGTAGGCCGTACGTTTGAGGAACACCTTCAAAACCTGGAACGCGTGCTCATGAAGATCCAGAGTGCCAACCTCAAGTTGAGTCCGAAGAAGCGCTCACTATTCAAACGGCAAGTTAGTTTTTGGGGTATGTAGTGTCGGAAGAAGGTATCCGCACGGATGCAGAGAAAATTGCCGCTGTCAAGGAGTGGCCGGTTCCAAAAGACAAGACACAGGTTAGAGCATTTTTGGGCTTATGCTCTTATTATCGGCGATTTGTGAAGAACTTTGCAGATATAGCCAAACCTCTGCACAAGCTAACCGAGGAGAAGCGACATTTCTGCTGGAATGAAAGTTGCGATATTGCATTCCAGGAGCTCAAGAACCGTCTGTGCAAAACACCTATTTTGGGGTACCCTGATGCGGGCAAGGAATTCATAGTTGACACAGACGCAAGTGATATAGGACTTGGCGGTGTGTTGTCTCAACGGAATGGTGATCAAGAGATTGTGATAGCGTACTTCAGCAAATCGTTATCAAAGCCGGAAAGGAACTATTGTGTCACAAGACGGGAATTGCTTGCTGTGGTAAAGTCCTTGCAGCATTTTAGCAAATATCTTCTAGGGCGGAAATTCCACTTACGAACTGACCATGCTGCACTGAAATGGCTATTGCAGTTCAAACATCCGGAAGGACAAGTTGCTAGATGGTTTGAACTACTGCAGGAATACGACTTTGTGATCGAACATCGCAGCGGGAAATCTCATGGCAATGCAGATGCATTGTCAAGAAGACCTTGCCCTGAAGATTGCAAGCATTGTAATAGGCAAGAGGGTAAGGAAGTGGTATCTGTGAGGATGCTCAGGACAGACCGGCTCAGCAATGAGTGGAAGGACAGCCTACAACATGCACAGCAGGAAGATTCGGACACTAAGCCGATTCTGGAATGGATGAAGGCCAGTGCTCCTAAGCCCAAGTGGAGTGACGTCTCAGCAATGAGTTCGACCACGAAAAGCTATTGGGCCCAATGGGACAGCTTGCTGATTCAGGATGGAGTCCTGTGCCGTAAATGGGAAAATGGTCGGGGAGACAGTTGTCATTTGCAAATGGTTGTCCCTAAGGCTAAAGTACCGGATGTTCTACAGCTGTACCATAGTGGTTGTTCAGGAGGCCACCTGGGAGTTAAACGAACTCTACTGAAGATCCGAGAACGGTTTTACTGGGTCCACTGTCGTGACGATGTCGAGGACTGGTGCCGCAAATGTACAAGTTGTGTGGCTGTAAAGGGAACTCAAATTCGTAGTAGAGGCGCATTGAAATTGTACAATGTTGGTGCACCATGGGAGTGGATAGCCATTGACGTTGCGGGGCCGTTTCCGGAAAGTGAAAGTGGTAACAAGTATTTCATGGTTGTGATGGATTACTTCACTAAGTGGCCAGAAGTCTTCGCCATTCCAAATCAAGAAGCTTCAACAATTGCAGATAAACTAGTTCATGAAGTCTTCTGTCGTTTTGGAGTACCCTTAGAGATTCACAGCGATCAAGGAAGGAATTTCGAGTCTCAAATATTCCAGGAAACTTGCAGAGTTATGGGTACTCATAAAACACGAACAACTTCTTACCACCCACAATCTGACGGAATGGTAGAACGATTTAATCAGACATTGGAAAGGTACCTGGCAAAAGTTGTGGAAAAACGGCAACGAGACTGGGACAGGCACATACAACCGTTTTTGTTGTCATATCGAAGCGCTGTTCACGAAAGTACATCAGTGACGCCAGCTTTCACAAACTTTGGGAGAAAATTACGGCTGCCTGCAGACCTGATCACCGGAATACGACCTGATGCCCCACGCAGTATAACCGATTATGCAAATGACTTGCGGAACAAAATGAATGACATTTATGAGCACGTCAGACAGACGGGCCAGCAAACGTCTGAGAAGATGAAAACACGGTATGACCGCAAAATGAACAACAAGGGGTTTGATGAAGGTTCACTAGTGTGGTTACACAATCCAGTTCGCAGCAAAGGGAAATCTCCTAAGCTTCAAGCTAAATGGGACGGACCGTACCGGATTGTGACAAGGATCAATGATGTAACCTACCGGATACAGAAAGGTGCCAGAGGTACTCCTAAGATTGTCCATGTGGATCGACTGGCGCGTTATTATGGGGCCAATAATGCTCGGGACGAGCATGTCTTAGGAGGGCGCAGTGTTACGCGCCACTATTAATGTCTTGTACATGGCAACACTAGTTACACTAGCGCCCTCTAGTGTCGAGTAGCAGAACTAGGAGAGTCGAGATCCTTCCAGAAATTTCGGGACCGATATGTACTCGAACATTCTAGATGTCGCTACAGTGGAAGGTTCTAGAAACTGTCTGAGGCCCTATATAAGGCCGGTATGGACCACGACCAAGGCAGTATTGAATTGGCGATACAAGAGAATACTTCGAAGCGAAATAACGGCGAACTGTGTTTTATTATTAGTGTGATTTTAAGTTATAATTAGTGTTGTGTAATTAAAGTGTCAATTTTGGTAATTCAATCGGCAGTTTTTAATTGTCTCGAACCCCAAGCGCGTAACAATACTTAGCCCAGACAAGCTTCCTAAACCGAAAACATAATTAAAATCAAGTACCGGATATCTAACCCTTGAAATTGGGTCGCTTAGTTTGTTTGAAAACAACTATAAAAAAAACAAAAGAATTCCTTTTTTTTTTCTTTGCAAGCCTAAAATTGAAAATATTCTTTAAATTATTAAATATCTCCTTAGTATTCGTTTTCTAAAAATTTAAGCCAAAATCCATACCGTATTTAATTCAAATTTTACAATTCACTCGTTCTTAGTTATTTAGCATCAAGAACTAAGTAGGATAATATTATATAATAAGGTATTTATATAGTACTTTTCTGTCCATATAGTTTAGTATTTAAAAACAAAAACAGTAATTTATAAAAATTATTACAAATGTATACTTGATTTGATGAAATGTTATTACTAATTTTGCTTTTGTTATTTCTTAACTATATTTTTTAATTATAATCATTGGCATTACTGTATATACATACATATACTGTCTTATTATTCTTTAATAATAATTATAACCATAATTTTATAGATCAATACTATAATAATATTAAATTAGTAATATAATTCTTGTTTTCTTTTAAATAAAGTTTTAACCCTTAACCAGAATCGTGGGTCCATTTGGACCCAAAGGCGAAAAGAAATCGATTTAATTTTTAAACGCATGAAGCTAGACGCTTGCGCTTCCATGTAATCTCATTACGTCGCGAGGTGCGGCGCGGGCCAGACGTTCGGCTCTTAAAGTTTACTGGAAGTGGTAGTAAGTGCTTTCGCTGGGTCCAATTGGACCCACGATTCCAGTTACGTAACTATTTTTCTGATTGTATACTTTTAAATTTTGCATTGTTTCAGGTATTTTGTTTGAATAATGGCGCGTAGTTTAAATGACAATGATATAAACGAATTATTATTGGACGAAATTGATTCGGAACCAGAATGTTTGAGCAACTTTCAACCATGTGATGATGAAAAGATAAGCAACAACGAAGTTCCACAACCTGAAATTTCATCTAACTCAAGTAATTCATTATCTGACAGCGATATATTAAGCGAAGAGGAACATGAAGATGCTCAACCATCAAGTGGTATTATCGAGGTAAAAATAGATTCAAGTGGTCCAAAAGTCCTTCAAGTAGCTCCAGAGTCAAAAGTCACAACATCATATCACACCTGCCTGGTATTGTGGGTCCTGTCCGTGAAAAACAGAATATGTCACCAATAGATTCATGGCAGCTACTGATATCAAATGAGATGATCGACACCATATGCGCACATACGAACTAAAAAATAACAGAATATTCTGAAAAGTATCGGACCGACGCAACTTACACTAATCACGTGAGCATTGTGGAAATGAAAGCATTCATTGGTTTACTGATTTTATCAGGTGTATTCAAGTCTGGTCATGAAGATATTGAAAGTTTATAGGCAACAGATGGAATAGGAAGAGTTATATTCAGAATAACAATGAATGTGGAACGTTTTATGTTCTTCTTGTCTGCTTTGAGGTTAAATGATATTAATTCTAGAGAAGAAAGAAGAATAAATGATCGGGCTGCTCTTGTCTCTGAAATATTTGGCAATTTCATTGAGAAATGTCAGAAAAACTCTGTGATACTAAAACACATTATTTGTATAATGCTTTTATTTACACGGGAAAGTCAGATTCCAACCAAAGAAACCAAGTTGCTATTCCAACACAAAATGTGCTACAGTTGGCAGCGCCGTTATTTGGAACAAACAGGAATATAACTGTTGACAATTGGTTTTCTTCAATTGAACTGGTTGACAAACTTATCGAAAAGGGCGTGACTTATGTTGGGACAGTGCGCAAAAATAAAAGAGAGATACCACCTGATTTTTTACCTAATCGACAGAGGGAGATAGGCTCGACATTGTTTGGATTCGTGAAAGATAAAACTTTGGCATCATATGCCCCAAAAAATAATCAAAGCGTAGTAATGATCTCATCAATGCGTCACGACAAATCGATCAATGAAGTAAGTGGAAAACCAGAAATAATTGAATTTTATAATAGCACGAAAGGTGGCTGCTTTAGATAAAAAATGCGCCAACTATACCGTTTCCAGAAGAACTCAACGATGGCCATGCGTATATTTTCAGCCATTCTGAATATTGCAAGTCCGAACGGATTTGTTTTGTGGAAAGCTTCAAATCGTGGTAAACGAATGAAACGTAATCAGTACATAAAACAAATAGGACTGGATTTGATCAAGCCATTCATTATGGAGAGGAAGGTAACGTATCAATCGTTTTCAATAGATTTGAAGAGTAGGATTGACAATTTCTTAGTGCCAGTTGAAGAGCAACATAACTCGCTACAAGAAAATGCCACTTCCTCTTAAACCGGAACACAAAAAAGGGGAAGATGCTTTTTATGTTGTCCAAAAAAAGATAATAAACAGTCACAAAAGTGCGACAAATGTTCTAATATAATATACATCTGCAAACATCATGCACAAAAAAATTGTTATGCCTCAAGTGCATACATAGATTTCAAAGACTGATTGACGATTTTTTGTTGTTTTTTGATAGGATGTCATTTTTTTTGTTATACAATAATTTCTAAGAAAATTATGCCCACTTTCACCAACGACCCGTAAGATTTATGGGACCCCTTAGCATATTTAGGGGCCTGTTAGGGGATAGTTTCTATTTCACCACTTTTAAAGGGTCCGTTACTGACTAAACGATCCCCTAAATTTATGAGATGGATTATTGATCCCACAAACCTTTACATAAGTAAAAGCGACTTCTAGAGGACAAGATGGACCGTGATCTATTAGATTTTCTTGATAATTTAGACACAACTGATACTATATTTGATATAAATCGTAGTCGAAGACCTAAAATATATCGAAAACGACCTAATTATTTCAACGATTTCGATGAAATAGATTTTTTCCGAAGATATAGGTAATCTAAATCAACAGTGATATATTTGTTGGAAAAAATTGAACATATTTTGGAATTTCCTGATAATAGGTGAGTACCTAATTATTTACATATGTAATCAATTTTAATGTATGTACCATGGTCTATAATGTTATTAAAACTGTAGTTTATTAAATATTTAAGTTAAAGTGTGGGTTCCTACATTTTCACTTATTACCTATTATACCTAGCTACGAAATAAAGGTAAAAGCATAAAAGGTTACTTTATTGCTCTCCTAACAGTAGCTTTTGAATAGAAAATGAGCCTGTATAGGTAGGCCGTAGGTACCTGTTTGGTGCTAACCTACCTACCATGGTAAGTTGATACCCGAGGTATATCTTACTTAAGTTTCTACCTATTTTAATTTGTAGTTTGTTTATATTTTTTACAGGAACAATTCCATACCACCCATAAATCAATTATTAATAGCTTTAAAATATTATGCCACAGGCAATCACTTGCTTGCTGTGGCTGATATGGGTGGTACTACGAGTAGTTTGGCTACATTCATCCAGAATAATAATATAATCTTTATTATAACTTATACAAAAAGAACTACAAAAATTACAAACAAAAAGAATAACATCGTTCATCACAGAGCTCAAAATATTGATTAAATAAATACTTATTATTTAATAAAAAGATTATGCATGGGTAAAGGATATTTAATTAATTAAAAATACATTTAAACTAGTTATTTGCAGAACCATTTTTGGATATTCCTGATACATTTTGAAAGTTTAAGGTGTGACCTGGAATAGAAAAGAAATATTATTACATCATATAAATTACATTATTATATACAATAACACTTAAAACATTTTTATGTTTTAGCCTCATCTCTTGACACCTTATCTCAACCCTACAACAAGTGGAGAACGAAAATATAATGAGGCCCACATTAGAACAAGAAATGTGGTGGAACGGCAATATGGTGAGTTAAAACGAAGGTTTCCAGTACTTGCGGTTAGAATTCGTTTAGCTTTAAACAATGCCATTAATGTCATTATAGCTTGCTGTATCTTGCATAATATATGCATGTTAAGAAATGAGCAACAGCCTGTGAATAATGATGATGTGCCTAACCTGGAAGAGCTAATTGCAAGGGGACAAATAAATAATATGGCATTTTCTGACAGACTTTCTTTGTCATATGGATTTCGCAGAAATCAAATTACCCATTATTTTGATAATTTATAAATATCTATTTTAGTTTGTAAAATATATATAGTAATTTCACCAATGAATAAAACACATACCTTTCAATTGGTTGCATACTTCAATTTTAATTTCCAATTCCTTTCTAGCTGTTTCTTACTGCAGCTGGTACAATTCTCTTTTAACACGTTGAACGCCACACTAAAAACCATATTTAGTCCAGGGAGCCGCGGCGGACACCTTGTGACCGCCAATATTGCGGGTCCAGGGGGCCGTGGCGGACACCGTGTGCCCGCATGGTCTCGATCACTACAAAGGCTTCTAGACGGCCGACGGATACTGTTTCGACTATTCCGCGCGGCCCTATAGTACAGTTTAGCCGCTTGGCACAAAAAAAATCGAAAGGATTTCGAATTTATGGACTTTTCTACAAGATGTTCCCAAAAATGTTTTAAGTACTTATAGTAAGTATTTTGAAAAGTTCAATTGAGTTATGTTATATTTAGAAAGGCAAAAATTTTTAATATTTTTAAAGCTCTAGAAAGTCGTTACTATTATAATCGTTTTCCGTCAAGTTCGTATCAAATAAGGAATGGGTTCAGTAGGCAATAATATACACACGATGTGACGAAAAATATTAAGGTTTACCTTGTGTTTCATTTAGCTTACTTATCCAATATAGGTGAATAAAGAATGGATTTTTTTTATTTGAACATATACATTCATATATATATTATGTATAATTTGAAAATTGAAATGAATCAAAGTCATTATATTTTTATATAATGTTTAATGGCAAAGAATGAGATCAATCGTTTAATCAGATTAACTAATGATATAATTACAATAAAATAATTAACTTTAAAAACGGAACAGGTAGATTAATTGGTACCCTGTTGGTAACAAAAGATGATAAAATAAATAATTAAAGAGATCAACAAACATATTACAAAATGTGTGGCATTATAAGGATTGTTAAACCTTTAAAATATATATAAAAGTCTTGAAATCAGCAACCTACAATCACTATGTATGGACTTCGATAAAAAGCACTTCAATTAGAAAATGTAAATACTTAGAAATAACATAACTTATCTTTAGAAAAATACAAAGATATATAGAAATATAACAAAAATCTAAAAATGCAGTTTAAAGAAACAGTCATGGCACAAAATTGGCTTTTCAGGACAAACGCTACAAAAAGTGTTTACTTTTTTCGTCTTATTTCGTGCTTGTAAGCGACCCAAGTTTTTGACATTCGTTTTGTAGCATTCCCCACAATTTCGTCTAGTCATCCTTGATGGGCCTGCTAACTTCACCAAAATATGTTTCTGTCTTTTCGGTCTTGTTAAGGCTGGTTCATCTGCTTGTTGTTTAGCACAGAATGATTTCAAAATTGCAACTCTAAAATCTGTTACTTTTATTTTTGTTTTGGTTACAGACTGGTACAAAACATGAGCATTAATCATAGCTATATTTAGAAGCATATCTAATGCAATTTTTTGCACCATCGGATGGATTTGCGGAGTGGAGTTGAATAAGAAGCCATCTGGTCTGCTAAATCCACACCTCCTTTGGCCTTATTGTATTCCAAAACGATTTGAGGCTTCTTCACAACCTGTCCACGTTTTATGATCTCAACGAAGCGCACAGAGTGCTTTGTGGATAAAACAAGAACATCGCGCTTGTCTTTCCACTTTATCACCGTTATTCCATCTCGGCTCTCCTCCGCACAGTAATGGCCCTTCTTGAGTTTCGTGTTGGTTACTTTTTTAAGAAGCCCCCTCCTATTTTTCTTGACTGTCCCGACAAGATGAGTTTGCTTCTCCAAAAGTCTTCGCGCCAAATCAATACTGGTATACCAATTATCGGTATGCAAAGTATGCCCCCTGTTAAAATAGCCTTCACACATATTCATCACAACATTTGTGGGTGTTGTGTTTATAGTGTCCATGTTTTTTCCAGCGTAGATATTAACTTTGTGTGTATATCCAGGAATGGAGCACAGCTTGAATAGTTTGACACCATACTTATGCCGCTTTTGTTTATTATACTGCCTAAATAAAATCCTTCCACGAAATGGCACCATGCTCTCATCGATACAAATATCTTCATTTGCCGTATAATGTTGCCGAAAACACTCATTCAAATCGTTCATTAGCTTCCTTACACGATGAAGTCGATCGGCCTTGTTTTTCTCGTCATCTTCAGAAAAATGCAACATGCGAAGCAGAATTTCGAAGCGGTTACGTGACATAGCAGTTCTAGGAAAAGGATGACCGATAACTTCGTCCTTCGACCAATAATCCGATAATTTTGGTAGTTTGACCACACCCATGAAGAGAAGCATGCCCAAGAATTTTTTCATCTCTGTAAAGTTAGTTGGAACCCATTGTTTGATGCGCGCACCAGCAGAAGCGTTAGGTTTCATAGTTATTTGCTCAATAGCGTATTGGTTAGTTGCAGAAACAAAAAAATGCAACATATCGTCAGTGACAAAAAGCGAATAGAAATCAGATGGAGACTTATTTACCATTGTAGATCGAACAGCGTATGATGGTCCCGAAATATCAGTGAATGCAATCAAACGACGTTGTTTACCTTCTGGCGGTCCCCATCCATCGCCATCAGTTCGAGTGTGATCTGGCAAATCCGGTGTCGTATTTTCTAATCCACTGTCCTCACTTTCCGAGCGGATAATACGGCGGCGACGTTTGTTCGACGGAAATGCTGAAATATTTTCTTTCTCATCTTCTGAAGATATGTGAAAACTTGAATTCAATAAGTTTATTTCAATGTTTTCTATTTGTGCTAAATCTTCTTCGGTAACTTCAAAGTTTTCAAATACATCCATGACGAAAAAATAGAATACTTGTTACGATCACGGAACCCTAATTTTGCGAAAAGAAACACAACATTCTCCTAGGCAAGCGCAAAGGCAAATGAACG